CAATGAAATGAGGGGGTTGGGTAGTATCAGAGGGTGGGTACGGGGGTACCTTTTTACTATTAATTGAGAGGCTTTTTGGGGTAGGGTAATTCGATCCGTCAGGGATGGGTGGGGAGAGGTCCAATGCGACCTCCGTGCGCAGGTTCGGTTGCGAGAAAATGAGGGGGAGGCAGACGAAGGGCATGGCAGAAGAGGAGGGAGGGAGATATGCTGTGCAAGTGGAATGCATCGAAGGAAGAGGTCGCGGGAGGGATAAGAGAGGAAACAGGTAGCGAGATGGTTGAAGGATCCTTACGATCGTAGCGACAAGGATTTGGTCCAAGCATCTGGAGATTTTTGGTAGAGGCGATAAGAGTTGGGTTTCAGGACCAGATACGCTGCAAAGAATTCTGATCCCCCGGAGCTAGCGAAGTTTCCCAGCATGATATCGAGTCGTTCACAGGAGATAGGATGTAGCATGAAGGCATGTCGTCGGGTAAATGAAGCAATCCGAAGGCGCCGTAACGACTGGTATCAACACTTTATACATAACAAAAGAATAAACAACCAGGTGCAGACACAACAACTCCGAACGTCGAACCTGACCGGTAATTCAAGACAGAATTGGTTCCTGCGGTGATGTCAACAACTGCGGGAGGTTCAACAACTCACATCTCACCTGCAACTCTTCAAAGTGACGGTGGGACGAGTGCAAATCTTGTCGGTCGCATATGCCGAGCCCATGAATTGAGGAGCCACTGTTGGACAAGTCAGAACCCTGTCGCGCGATGACACCATCGTCGCACCTTCCACTCCGCTGCCATCCAGTCTCGCCATGGTCATCCAATCTCAAATCGTCCTCGATGCATCTTCCCGTCACCTGCATGCAATCAGTGAGGGTTCCAGCGCGATCTACACAAAGATCGGGGACCTGGTTGTAGAGCTCGTCGAGCCTTGCAGTGCTCATCGTGTCTTCATCCTCCACGTCAGCCTGCGAGCTGTCCATGACTGTCACTTCGTCCTGGCAGTAAATCTCCTCTGACTCAATCTCGGTCATGGGCTCTGACGGCCTTGCATCCTCGTCCGCTGAAATTTCCCACGATCTGGCGCTTGCAACTTCTGGACACCTTGAACCACTGTCGTCCTGAGATGAAGTAGAGAGGACGTACCCACTAACAATTTCTCGGTAGTCATCGTTGTTGACAATTTCCTGCTGATTCAATCCATTCGATGTTGAGCCCTGGTTCAAATCCATGACTTGTGCTGCTTCAAGCACCGGTGTAGGAGGACGATTCAACACCCGGGCGTCTTCCTCTGCGGTAGAACAAGCATGAGTTTGGCAAGCTTCACAATAGACAGACAGACAGACAGACAGACAGCAGGCAGATATGGAATGATATGAACAAATCAGACACAGTTGAAGCGAAAAGAAATTCCACTTCTAACATGCAGGTTTAAACAGCACGCACAACATGGTAAAACTCAACATATTTGACGCTCCTGCCCTGCATCCCACCACTCGAGACAGAAACTTACGTTGTTGCAATAACTGAGCAAAGTTGATACGAGCTGCTGCCGCTGCAACTTGCATCGAGATTGAAGTCTCTGTCAGGTTGCTTGATGTTCGCTGCGACTTGCAGTCGAGATCATCGCACTCAGCGGGCAGCTCATTCCGGCATATCGGGCAGGTGTTGTGATGTTTCAGCCAGGGACAGATACAGTCATCATGGAATACATGGCTGCATGGCAGCCTGAGAATGCCCTCTCCATCTTTCAGTGTTTCCTCACAGATCGGGCAAACTTCCTGCCTTACGATGTCTGAAGCAGCGACAGTGTCGCCTGCCTTCTGAATGCCTTCAAGAAACTTCTTCGAGGTCGACTTCTGCGGAGACCCAGCGGCTTCGTCAAGAGATTGAGAGATAGCTGCTTCAAGATCTGAGTCCCGCATGAACTCCCGATTGATGTCGCTGTCGAACAAGAAGAAGGTGTACACAATGTCGTTGGCAGTAACTCGCCTCCCCGGCATGATGTTGGTTGCTGCCACCCGCACCTGGCGAAGTGGGCTATTGATCTGAATTCTTCTTCGCTCATGCTCTGTTAACACCTCCACGAAATTCCCTCTACACCTCGGGCATTCCGCAACACCGGCTCCATTCACTCCAAACCTTCCCTGTCCAGCAAGGAAAGCAGAAGGGCCCGATGAGATTACCCCCCTGCAGTGATGGCAGTACAGAGACTGCGATGGCGGGGATGGGTGTGATATGGAGGAATTGCTGCTCGAGCAGAGAACAAATGAAGGAGCCGAACCCATGGCGGAGGGTTGTTTGATCCGTCTCCCCAGAACGCTGCAAAGCGTGAGACAGGAGCAGATAGCAACGCTGTCCAGGAGCCGACCAGACAAATCAAGGTAGAAACGTAGCCCCAAACAGAAGAATGTCAAAGAAGAAGACGAGCAGTCGAAGAAAAGCTAGGCCGTGAAGATATAGGAGACAAGACGGCTGAGGGGGATGGCTTTTCCCAACAGATGCAAGGGGAGGGGGTTGAGAGAGGGTAAGGCTATAGCAGGAGCTATCCCACTGATAGAGCAGGGGGAGAGAGAGAGGATGCAAGACTAGAGGAACGGAGCAACGGGAGGTAGAGGATGCGCTCTCAAGCCGAGAGTACCGCGAGAGGACATGCGCCAAAGCAAAAAGTACCGATCTCCACCCCCACCCCCTTTAGCATCCTGATCTTTTCCGGAACTGGTAGGGTACTCACATTTGGGAACATGGGGGTGGGGTAGCTCTGAATTTCTCTGGGTAGGACGGTGTATTTTCTTGGGGGTAGGCAAAAGTCAAAAGGGTTGCCCTACAGTAGATCATAGGGGGTAATCGATTATGAAAAGTAGGGGTCATTGTCGATTGTAGGGGTCTTGACCCCCTTACTGGGGGTAGCTGGGCTGATTTTTTGAGGTGAGGGTATGGCATGATTTGAGTTGCCAGGTGGGTGGGTAATGGGTGGATAGGGTTAGTTAGCGGATAGGGGTGCAGTTTGTGTTGGGGGGTGGATGTTGTAGCTTTTATAATGGTGAGGGTGGAGAAATGGGGGTAGGGTGCTACGGAAGTGGGGATGATGACGAGAGAGGGGGTAGGGTGAAGGGGTGGATCATTTTCATCTGATTTGAGAGGCTAGAAGGGGGTAGTGACCGAAGGCTAGTGGGGGTAGGGTGTGTCAAGGAGGGGTGAAAATCAAGTGGAGGATAGTTGGTCTTGGTGGGGTAGGTCAACTTATATCCAGAGTTTGTAAGGCGTAGAGATCAATGAGGCTGGAGGCAGGGGTAGGGTCTTCAACCCAGGGGGTAGTCATTGTCAGAACCGGGAGGGGTGGGTAGATAGGGAATTGACGGGGTCATGAACCTGTGAAGAAGGACGCGGCGGACAGGACATGGACAGGGGTGGTGACAGGCTGGGTAAAAGGTAGGGGTAGTTCAAGGGAATGCAGGGGGTTCTAAATTTACATGCGAGTTGAAGGTCACTAGTACCAGGTCATTGTTGGTAGGGGTGACTTAAATTTCAAAACAATCAAGAAAATTTCAAATGAACTTTGGAAGGGTAGTGGTGACATTTCGTGGTGACTGTATGAGGGGGTCACAACTACCCACCCCCCTTATTCACCATACTGAAGGAGGGCTGCTATGAGCAGGCCCGCCTCAAGGAATAGTACTTGATGGTCACCGGACGTGGGCCCGGCACGCACCGATGCCCGAGCCCGACAGAATTATATAACTAAAACCTTAAAAAGCATTGTAGCGGTTTTCTTCGTATCAAAACTCAGTGATGGTCATAGTACACTCCGACCATAGTGCATAGAAGTGTACTACCACTAATATTATAAAGTTCAATCAACGGGGCTCCGATGGTACACTCGAAGTTGTCTGTACTGACAAGACACTTTTAAAAATATTTTACCAGGGAGTGTGCTCTCTGTGACCTTCGGTACCAATATTTAAAATAAATTTAAAAATAAAACTATTGTCAAGTTTCGCCACCGGTGGTTCCGGCCCTGTGACTTTTGAAACTTGTGCTACCCCACCCCCTCATCTGTAAAAAAATTGAAACACAATACCCCCATTGTTTAGTATTATTTTATCTATCAGGAACCGGTACTGTATACACCCACCTACCATGATGAACGATTTTCCTACCCCACCCCCGGGCAAGTACACCCACCTCACCCACCCGGCAAGACTGTGCAAGTTGGTACCGCCATGAGATCAGGTGAGGATAGGGTTTATGACAGGAGGAGGACGGAGGGTAGAGGAGAGAGGACGGAGGGTAGAGGAGACAGGACGGAGGGTAGAGGAGACAGGAGACAGAGCAGGGGATAGAAGAAAAGGGGAGGATTAGAGAATGCAGATGGAGATGCTCTGCACTGCGACTTGGGAGCTGGGGAGGAGAGGAAAGGAAGAGGTGAAGCGGGATGTACTGAGGGATGAGCAGACGGACAGGACAGTTGATAGAGGGGACGGGGTGCGAAGAGAGGAGGGGAGAGGAAGGAGAGGAGGGGAGAGGAGGGGAGAGAGGAATCAATGAAGGTGCAATGCTGATGCCGATGGCGAGCTGGAAAGTACCGACGTAATACAGGGATGTTGGGTTTGACTGATGCGAGCTCAATGTGAGACGTTCAAGCTTGATGTGGCGATAGCTTTCCTGCACCTCGGGGAGAAGCTCGTAGGAAGGCATGAGATAGGTTCCATGGATGAGTGTTGAGGATACAATGGACATTTTGTTCGAGGAAGGGTTACGATCGAAGTCCTTGGTGTGGAGAGGATGGTTGAAGATGCAGGAAAGCAGAAGGGAGGGTCCCGCAAGGGATAGTGTGAGATCAAGGATGTGGCAAAGGAGGAGTGTACTTTGAGAGGTTGATATGGGCAGCTTTGAAGTGTACTAATTTGGAACGGACACGTCTCGTACCGATACACTGACATGTTTCCTTCCCATGGTTCAGATTGAAAGGTTTTGCATCCCTTACCGCAAGATTTCTCGATTTTTGGAGCTCAAGGGACGTAGGGAGGCCGACTCCTGCTCAAGATGAGCATTTTCAACAGCCTTGAAAACGCTTTCAAGGAGCACCACATCATCAACGACTTTCTGTTTCCCGGTGAGTGATGTTCGCTCACGCTTCCGGTCCCGTCACACAATCTGGCAGGGTCCTCGGCCAACTCGTACTCCTGGAACAGCTTCAAGCCTCAAGAGCTCATCTGCATCAGATCGGATGAGGATGAGAACGTGGTGGTCCCCTGTCTTCTGATCAAGGGGAAGGCTCCCCGCAAGGCTCATCCCACCCGCCGTGACATGGAGGAGGAGACTGAAGAGTCCATAGCGCAGTGAGTCCAAGAGGGGAGGGGGCATCCCGGGAGTGCTTGGCACTGACTACATGCGCAAGGGCTGAGTCGGATCCGTCCAGCACGATCATGATCTACTGCCATGCCAACAGCGAGGACCTGGGGAGCATCTACGCGTGTGCTCAGTGGATCAGCCACATGCTGGGAGTGCATGTCTTGGTACCGGAGTATCCGGGCTACGGGCTCTGCCAAGGGAATCCCTGCGAGTCTAGTGTGAACACAGCCGTGTTGACGGCTTGCAAGTGGGTGAGGGATGTGCTTTGCTGGGATCTGGACCATATCGTGGTCTATGGGAGATCGATCGGAACGGGCCCAGCCATCAACGCTGCTCGGCTCGGCCTGGTGGGTGGAGTGATATTAGTCTCTCCCTACACCTCCATCCGAGACATCGTTGAGGAGCATGTCGGGGCTGTGTTTTCTTGGTTAACAGGTGAGACTTCTCAGCTCCTCCCTTGCTCCGATCGCCTGACGATGCTTGATTCGTAGCGGGGTCATCAGATTGGCCCAGCGTAGAGATGATGAAAGAGGTGAAGGTAGGCTGCATCTCGATCTCAGATGCCTTGTTCTCATCCGATCTACCAGTGCCCTGTTCTCCTGATCCATGGAACAACGGATGAAATCATACCTGCGTCCCACTCCAAAGAACTCCACAGGTTTGATCTCGGGAGCTGCTCGTTCCGTTGCTCTCCATGTCCTGATCTCTCTCCCCTCAGCGTCTGCAACTCGAGGAAGAGGCTCATCCTCCTCGAGAAGGTAGTGTTCCGTGCCTTGCCGCACTCCCCTTAACTAGAATTTGTTTCTCTTTGCGAGTGCAGGTTGGTCATCAGGAGATGGAGCTCCTATATGCCCTTGTACAGGCAGCACCAAGTAAATTTCCTTCTCCTCGTCGCATCTTCCTCCTCCTGTCCTCCTCCTCCTCCAATGACTGTCTCTGCAGCAATGTTCTCGCTCTACGACAAGCCATGCCAGCTCGATCTCAAACACCTCTCGTCCACCATCGTTGAATTTCGAGGAGGGGAAGCAGCGATCCCAGTGTACAGCACGCGAACGGTCAAGAGCCCGGATGAGGTGATGGCGTGGTGAGGAGAAAGCCAGCTCTCCGACTTGTCTGATGCATCTGAGCAGGGGAGAGAACGCCGGGCAGATGATGATTGCAGGCAAACACGTCTTCGTGCTCTGATGCACGGGGAGAGAATTTGCGCTGTAGTGATCCTGTGGTTGCTTGTTCGCAACCTCTGAGACTTTTTGTGGTGTCTGAATTTTTTCCTTGTATTTGTAAAACATACACACAGGCTGAAAACGTTCTTGTCCAATGCAGCAGATTGTCGGCTGCGGTCTAACGGACCCTCTTCGACCCAACGATCCTCTTCCCTTCCTCTTCCCTTTCTCTTGTCTTTCCTTTCTGCTCAACACTACGTCTGCTCCACACAAGCTCCACACCGTGAAGCTGCCACGACCTCCTCCTCTGTACACTTGTGCTCTCCCTTGCGCTTGCATTCACCACCTCGCTCCATCTACTTGCCTGCTACCTGTCGGCCAACAGTATCAGTTGCTGCGATAGTCAGCAGGGATACCTGCCTGCAAGACAGCAACAACCACAAGCGCCATTGAAGCTCCGACAGCAGCAAACAGCACATAGGCAAGGCGGATCGCGCCTGTTCGAGGGGTGAGGATGAAGTGATCAGCCTGTCATGATGCACCTGTGCTCAAGACACGACGTGGGGATCCTTTCTGCTCTTTCACCTCCTGACCCTCTGGCCGAATAATCACCGACCCTTCCTGGCAGTACGTCAAACAGCCTGACGTCAGTCCAGTCCACCCACCTTGGTTGTTCCGAACGGCTCGCCGACAGCGATACGTCTGCAGCAGCATGCTTGTCAGTCTCAGATGCCACGAGGACGCTGCTGTCACCGCCAAAACTCGTAAGTCGCCCACACGAATGGAATGACCCCGATGACGAAGACGACTGTATCCTGAGCCGTGATGCCCCTGGGCTCGATGACGATCTTCGAAGCTTCTGCACAAGGAAAATGTGAGATGTTTTCATCGAGCTGCAGCTGGTTCGACCTGCTCCCGCCTCTACAACATCCGCCATGGCCGACGCAGGGAAAAGGGAGAACAACGAGAGCACGGCGGTGGTTTGTGTAGCGCCCATCCCAGATGCCTTTCCAGGCACGTCGATGTATTGAAGGGAACCCTCATCATCGCTACTCTCACGTCTGTCAATCACGTCAACAACGATCAAGCTTTCTTCCTGCGCTCACAGCTGCATTCTCAACGTGGGACGCCGGGGTATGTCCAGTTCATTGCCCATGGTGTTTGGTTGCAAATTTCTAGGAGAGGAGGGGGAGAAGCTTGAGTGTATGGGGGGGGAGAGCAGTGTGTATGAAGATCCACCAATCACCACCAACGAGTTCGCCTCCTTCGCCACCATGAGCGCCGCTACCAGCACGCAGAGCATGGCTTTCGCCATTTCTCTCCCTGCCTTGAATGTCTGTACCCGCCGATTTTTGAAAATGATTTGTATCGAGTTTCTAAATAATTACGTACAAATCAATATTTTGATTTGTACTGATTTATTTTAAAAGGGTTTTGAAGCAATTCAATGTCAGTAGCTTCTTCTCTATATATGGGTTTTAGGTTTTAGGTAAAATCCCGTACAAAACAGGAACCCAGGCTTGCCAAGAAAGGGAGAGGGAGGGGAGGGAGGGGAGGGAGGGGAGGGAGGGAGGGAGGGAGGGAGGGAGGGGAGGGAGGGAGAGGGAAGTCACATTCGTTCACTGGGAGATCAGAAGACAAGACTGATCTGTGACTGAAGGTCATGTGACAGGGAGTCAGTGGATGGAAGGACTTGATTCAGATTCAACTTAAAACCCCACGATGTTGAAATGTGAAGAGCCCTTGCTCCTGTTGTTTCTTGCTTGACCGCAGTCATCATGTCAGTTGAAGCCACCAGCATCGCGATCTTCTCTCTGGGCCTGTTGGTAGGATCCCTGTGCAAGAAATCTCAGCGAGGTCAGGCCTTGCACTGCCTCCTCCATGATCTCACAGCATCGGTGGACAGGGGCCTTGCTCGTCGGCCTCATCAGTGCGAGTGTTCTAAACAAGCTCCTGAGAGATGTGAGCAGATCAAGAAGATCAATCTTGTCCCGCTGTGTTTGTTTGCAAACATGATCGTTCTCTCTTCATCTTCTAGACCCTCTTCGCAAAGCGCAAGAAGGCTCCAAGGACTAAGGCACGGTCCTGCCCCGCACTTCCTCGAGCAGCGGAGTGGAGCTGAGAGGAGAGGAGAGGAGAGGAGAGGAGAGGAGAGGAGAGGAGAGGAGAGGAGAGGAGGACAAGAGTAGGAGAAGAAAAGCAGGAGATTGAGTCTGGTGACTGATCGTTCAAGGTATGATTCAAACATGTGGAGGAAATTCTGCGAGTCAAGAATCGAAGTGCTGGAAGATGATGATGAATGGTACACGATGACAGTCGATGAGTTGATGAGTTTGACCCTTCTTCCCCTCCTCTCCTCTCCTCTCCTCTCCTCTCCTCTCTTCTCCCTCTCTCCTCCTCTCCTCTCCTCCTCTCCTCCTCTCCTCTTCTCTCTCCCCTCTTCTCCCCTCCTCTCCTCCTCTCCTCTCCTCCTCTCCTCTCCTCCTCTCCTCTCCTCCTCTCCTCTTCTCTCTCCCCTCCTCTTCTGTCCTCTTTTCTCTCCTCTTCTCTCTTCTCTCCTCTCCTTTCCGCTCCTCTTCTCCTCTCCTCTCCCTCTCCTCTCTTCCTCTCTTCAGGAATGGGTATGACAATCTGCGAACGGACAAGGTTGTCCACATCGAGCTCCGTCGGTGGGCTGACTGTCTCCTGCTGGCTCCCTGCTCCGCAAACACGATAGGGAAGGTGAGGAAGCAGCAGTAGAGGGCCGGAGGATAGGAGCAGGAGGAAGGGTAGCTGACAGAAGAGGAGGAGCAGGAGCAGGAGCAGGAGCAGGAGCAGGAGCAGGAGCAGGAGCAGGAGCAGGAGCAGGAGCAGGAGCAGGAGCAGGAGCAGGAGCAGGAGCAGGAGCAGGAGGAGCAGGAGGAGCAGGAGGAGCAGGAGGTTGTGGTGGTGGTGGTGGTGGTGGTGGTGGTGGTGGTGGTGGTGGTGCAGGAGCAGAATCAGCAGGAGCGGCAGCAGCAGCAGAGCGAGCAGGAGGGATTTTGAATTTGATTTGTTCTGCAGGTCGCTCTTGGTCTCAGTGACAACCTTGTGACTTGCATTG